AATAAATATGTGGTCTGTTAAAACTGATATGTCAGACCAAACAATGGTTGAATTTAAATATGGTTTCAAGGGAAATAAGAGGCTACGTGGGAGGGCAGGCTGCTTCCCAGCAGCTACACTGTGTTTAACACTCATTCTGCATTCACTGAGACGAATACAGTTTTTTTAAAAATTCTCATGGTCAAAATACAAAAATAAAATACTAGCTATAGGTGTACGTATACAAAGACTAAAAGCACATATTGAAAGCCTCCATCTCTGATTGTCACATGGCATAGCAGAACAAAATGCAGATCTGGTCCCCTATCACTCTGAGCACTGCCTTGTAGGTGATAAGGCCTAAAGCCTCTAAAGCTTTCACAGGTTTCATTCTTATCAAAACTTTTAATCTTAGAAGACTTCTGAAAGAACCAAGTGCCCAAATGTCTTGGGCAATCTGGACAGCAGACTCCAGAGCTGATATTTAAATGTCTTGGGTGAAGAGAAGGCCTTAAGCATTGCAAACCTATCAGATTTTATTTCAAAGGTTGGTAGGAGACAGGGTGATCATCTATCATGCCATTTAAATATACCTACAAACTTAAAAAGTATTGAAATGAATAATCAAGGTGATTATAAATTTTGTACTACCCACAATATGAATATACTTTATGTTTTTTCAAGTATAAAATAAATGCATATTTCATTGTAAAACACGGACTGTTGGTGGCAGTAAGAGCTGGGTTTATGCATTATTCACTGATGAAAAAAATGCTGTAATTCTAAGGTTGCAAGACAGTATTCAGGCCTGTAGCAAAAATGCTAAGTCATGCCTTGAAGCAGTGATTGAGCACCTAGTGGGAAGGCAGGGCCAACCCAGGGGAGCTCAGGTGTATGCAATGCACCCGAGTGATCGGAAGGGGTGGAGACAGGATCCACCCCATCCCAGACTTCATTTAAGGGTTGGTAGGGGAGGTGAGGGTACCACTGGAGATCCCTGCCTACCTGAGGTCAAGAAGATTCTTTCCTCTGTTTGTGTCCACAGCCACTGCATTTGAGCATATCCTCACTTGCTGCAGCCTAGGACTTTGCTACTCTGCTGTAGTTGCTGTGCTTCCCATCACATTACAGTGTTACAGGGTCCTTTTGCAACTATGTCTGAGGTTGACTGAAGGTGCATGAAGGCCAAAGCTGCTCTGTCACCTGCTTTTGCTGGCACTGGGACGCTGAACTACCTGTATGCAGTCCAAGTACTTTTAGAGTTACACAGTGAGGTCAACAGGAGCACGGCACAGCTATGACTGAGATGAGCAGCAGTTCTCTAAGCTTCTCAGTCTGTCCCCAACAGAGGAAGGAGCGTCATAAGCGTTTGGAGAGATTTGAGCATTCCCAGCTTCAGCACTCAAGCTGGAGATGCAGTATCACTAGCAACAAAGAGCAATGCAGGTCTGCCTGCCTACAATTTTCTGGTATTCAGACTGTCAGCAAGAAAAAGGGGAGCAGTGTGGTCTGCAGATTTATTCGTAAGCAAGTGAAATAACAGAATTAGGAGGCAGCAACTGCTTTAGCATAAGGATACATCAGTGTGACTGAAAACATAGGAATGCATCTCTTTCTAAGTGCACTGAAGAGGCAGACTGCAAGTAATACTGGGCGTACTGGTACATTATGGAAAGAGACAACAGCTCTTAGTGGACTTCTGTACTATTTTGTGCTAATTCCATATTTCTGACATCACATAAGCATGGTTTTTGCTGAGTCCCAAATCTCTCAAGACAGACAAAAGATACCTGTAGGAAACCAAATCTCTGCCCCAAGGCTTCTTCACCATATTAGTGAACATAAGGACTTATTATCTGGCAATAGTAAACAGATGGTTTCACGTCATAAAGAGGTATGTCAAATCACTTCAGAAAGATCTGTATTGTGACCTATGCTATTCAATCTACAGTTACAAATAATCTAAAAAGGAGCAATTAGGGTGCTAAAATTTGTTGATTATACAAAAAGATACTGTCATGAGTTGCACAATTTTACAACAGTTAATTAATTATGAGGCAATAAAAAGACAACTAAAATCTGATGCAGATAAACACATAAAAATAATAACTATGAGAAAAGTGAAGTGTTGGTTCTGAATAAGCAGTCATCAATCAGAAAGACAAACTTGGTGTTTGCAGAAAGTTCTCTGCCAGCATCAGCTACACTCAGAAGTTCTCAAGAAGTCAAACAGGATGTTAGAAATTAATAAGAAAGGAACAGAGAAACATGAACTACAAGTGATAAACTGTTACACTCACTTTGTAAAGTACTCTGAATGCATTTCCCAGTTGTGATGCCTGAAAGTCTATGATATATGGAGTGCATTTTAACAACTTATGCAGCTAGGAGTCACATTTAAACAGAATCTGACCAATCTGCAGCCAATGCCATTGTCTGCTACATACCCCTTTGAACACAGAAATAAAAAACAAACCAGAAATCATTCATCTTACTTTGCCCGTACATAGCACAATCAGGTGAACATAAAAACTTATCTCTGTTTGAGCACTTATTTCAATTTTGTTTTCCCACAGGGCACGTAGGTGCCACTGCAGTAGATGAGAGATGTCGGGGGAATGAAAAACTCTGGAACACAGTTCCATTAGTCATGGTTTAATCTCAACTTATATGGAAAAATGCACTAATACAAGCAGTCAATCATCAGAAAATTTAAGGGAATTGTGGGGAGGAAATAGAAAAGAGTTGATGCTGATCTGGCACACAAACCTTCCCAGGGGACACACCAAACTTTGACGTAAATCTAAAATAAGCATGTTAACTTTACAGAAGGTAGGAAACAGAAGCAAGTTCTTAATTTTAAACACTGTGGATCCGGCACTTGCCAGATATATAATTTGCCAACTTGATTGTACAGCACGCTTGAAGGATCAAGAGATTTGAAATTGAGTAAAACATTCACTTCTTAGAAATACAGACCATCAAAATATGTGTAGAAACACCTTAAAATGACATTGAGAACTGATTTGACATTTATGAGTTTCTGTAATTAACGCATTAACTTGTCATTAAACATGAGTTTTTTTTTTTTTTCATTCAAATTAGACTTCCATTAATACTTGAAAATTAATATCACTAATAAAATAGAAATTAATTTTGACCAGTCATGATTCGTAGGTCACTCCGAAAGTAAAGCTTGCTATTTATTTCTGTGGGAGCTACAACAGCTACAAAGAGAACAATAACACTATTTGATAGAGCAAATTCTCAGCTACATGACACTATTTTTCAGCAGTCGCCACCATTAACTATGCTCTCATGCCAGCAATGAACAAGAGCATGCATGCTGTGCTCAGAAAACTGCAGCAGTGGAGGTGACCTACTGTTGCTGGAGCCACTTCTGAAATGCACCACCCATTGCCTCACTATGCTGACATACACTGATTGGTCTCCATAAACACTCAGCAAACACTGATGAATGTCAGTGGGTGCTCCTCTGCTGCCATCTGTCATGCGACAACAAAATGTAATAGAATACTGGCAGGAAGGTTCAATCTCTACTGCTGTACCACCTATATCCACCTCTAACATTGTAGGCCAAAATAATAAAATAGGAGGCATTACTTTCAGAGAAAGCATTGTATTTCAGCAAGGAGCTGCAGACAGAGACAAATTATATTTTCCAATCTTTTGCACTACCAAGTTTCCAAACAGACTACTGACTACTGAAAACAGACTCCAAAAAAGGGTGTTTACTGCCACTGAAATGTTGGTTAAAGCACAGATTTGTTAAAATGATTTTAACTTATCAGCTTTATTGAAAGAAACAATTATTAAAGAATTATTTTTGAATTGGTGTGATAAGGAAGCAGTAAACGTTCTTTGCAATAAAATTCTAAACCTCGTTTGAAGAATGAAATAGCATCCTGTTAAAACTTTAAAGCAATCCAATATCATAAAGCCAGCACTACAATGGTACCATGGTTAAATGCTAAAAAAAATAGAGGTACAAAAATACCCCTGTCAAGAAGAGTGGGCTAGTATATCACATACTTAAATAATGAAAGTAAGTAGCTTGTCATGTTCTAAAACCACTTCAGCTCTGCAACATGAAAACATGTCCATAGATCTGTCACCGTTCGCACTGGCACTACTTAAATCTATTACTCAATTACAATTGGTAAAGCATGCAAATAGACAAAGCAAAGTGTACTAGGCTTATGTCAATGTAAAGCTTTTGCTACTTAGGAGTATGATTTTCATCACTTCTTCCTAATAATTAAGGCAAATAACAGCAAAACTTCTAAAGAACTCTACATCTTAAGCCTCATCTGGAGCAACAATTTTTATACCAGTTCTCTCTAACTTAAATAGACTCTAAGATGTACATAGAATAGGAAAAAATAAACTCAAATTTATGCCTTCTCAGGAGAACTGACCTTTCAGATTTCAGTGCAATTCGTCTTCTCAATACAAAGGTGTAAATAAAACCCAGCATTTTTTAGCCACTTGTCATTTTGTGCTAGTGAAAACAGTAATAAAGCAGCAAACTATGTAAGGATAAAAAAAGAAGTAATGTATCAAGATTTACAAATATAATCCAAGTGAAACCCAGAAGTTACAGAATCTAGTGCACCTCATGCTTCTTTTCTGCTTTTGTGAGCACATCTTTAATAGCAGTTTAAGAACCATGAAGCACAAAATCTGTCTCCTCATAATGAAGTACAATATTTATAGATTTAAACAGAAATCTATTCCAGAATCTTTGCATTGACGATCTTCATTTTGTGAAAGTAATAAAGAGACTTGTCTTCATTTGCTTCTTTCACACCCACAGCTCTGCAAACACCATATTGCTTTCGCTTGCATTAACAAGCCTCTGTGTTGCCATTCTGCCCTTCTGTGTTTCAACCAAAAGTAACAACACAAACTTTTCCAAACATTTCTGTGTTATTTCTGCACTAGAGGTCATGGGACACCTCCCTCTCCCCAGTAAATCTTTCAAATTACATTTCTTTTAGATGTGTTTTCACCAGCTATCTCTGACAAGTGAGAGAACGCCCCTAAGCTATGAATTTTGCTTAAGGTTATGAAAATGCCGCATTTCTTCTGGCCTCAGAGCAGAACTTTGCAGAACTCCATGATAACTGCAGCAAGATTCCAGATCAGGTATGACAAGGAAGCATTTGCTGACCATCTACTGGGGGAACCTTGGAGAAGAGCTTGCTCAGGGAAAGCATACACTATGAATTTGCAGCATCTATGCTAGTTGGAAGGAACCACTCATTCCTGGAGAACAAGGCAGGATCAGCCTCCAGAGAACTGCTGCACTGTAATCAGGTGAGAACCAGCAAAGGTAAGAGCACAAAGACAGTGAACTTCAAATCCAGCAACCTGTACATACAGTGACAGAAAAGAGAGGTGTTTATTTTGGCACTTGCACTGATTGTTGATGCTCTATTTACGTTTTTTTTTCCTCCACTCAACACCTGCAGAGATTTTCCTGGAAAAGTACCAACTGCAGAAACACAACTTGTCAATGAAATCCCTGACCAAACCTCACCACAAGCATTAATTATACTAATTAGAACTGCTGCCAGTGGAGAATAAACATCACATGCAACTTATCTCAAAGCATCAGGTGAGCTCCTCATTCAGTTTCATTGGAATGGGCAATTACATGTGAATTTTTCCATCTATACTCCCAGCCATTCACTCCAGTATTGCTCAGAACACACACATCAAATAAAAGATTTGGTCGCGGCTCTCTTGAGAAAGTTTGAGCACTTGAATGCACAGCAGATGGAATCACACTTATTACCAAGTGTAATTTTCCATGCTTTACTACTTTAACTTAGATTATGTGTATTCATCATGATTTCAAAGCAAGAAAGACCCGCTGAAGTCAACTGAGGCCTATATATTGGTTCTGTTCATCTTGCAGGTAAGTCCTAAGTTGATGTTCATCCCAATTCTTTTCTTCGTAGAATATCTTTTACTTCATATTTACTAATAACTTCAATTAAATTGGTGCTAAGATAACAGTAATAATCTTCTAGCAAACAGCAGCTGAAGTGAAGTATTTGCTGGGACAGCAGTGATGGTTACAGTTATGGTTCTTTGCAGTACTTCTCCACCAAGCGAGGAGTTCTTTGTGCATACAGTGAAGCTTTATGCTGGGAGTAGCTATCTGTGACAGTAATGCCTACTAATATTTTTAGTGCCAACTCGAAACATTTGCAGACTGGTACAAATATTTATGAGGTATTGATGCAAATATTTGTAAAACTGCTCTGAGGTCACAATTTATTTCAGGTATGAAAATTTCCCATCAGAATCCTGTACCAAAGGAGAAGGTAAACAAAGACTCTGCAGAAAAAGGAACAACTTGGAGACATCACGTGACATGAAACCTACATTTCTGTGCAAGAATTTTATGTTCCATTTCTTAAATGTGTGTCTTTTACTTTACCTAAGTGCTTTTAAAATAATAATAGTTACTTAATAATAATAAGTGATTTTCATACTTAGAGCATAGAGCCATAAAGTCACTTTCCATCTTTAAATCCATACTTACATGTGCACACATGAACACACACATCACAGCAATTTCCCTGATAAGCAGCCTGAACTTTCAGCTGAACCAACATTCCAGTCATGATGTCACTGAAATAGCAGTGTTGGGCTAACCACAAGTACATGTGGTATCAGAAATTAAAATTGACTTTGTTTGGAAATCTGGCAAGATCCTTCCAAGAGCTGACAGAATTGCATGTTATTATCAGTCATCTAGTCTGAATTCCAGGAATCTTGGGGAATTTACCCTGTGCAAGATAGACTGAATTCTTTTTGAGTTCTTTACAAACCCATGGTGCTTTTAAACTTCAAAGCTGCATCTGTGTTTTGCTTTGTACATCCTCTTTATTCTTATATGTCTGCTAGCTCTCTATGTGCCCCTAAAATTTCAAAATACCATTGCATAACCTTCAATAACCATTTTGGTTGAGAAAAATAGCAGTTAAGCGATCAGATAAAAATGCAGTACCAAGTAAGTAATAACAAAAGTTATATAAACCCTGTGTTTTTGAGGTATGTTTTGCTTCAAGATGATTTTGTTTGATACAGAACTATAAAAAACACCTCACCAACCCCCAAACCTGTCTGTTTTTCTGTATCAGCTTTTCTGTGATCCTGCTGTGACTCCATGGACAGAAGTCTCATCCTCAGCTTAATGACATGGAAAACTAAAAAGATATCCCCAAACACTGCTTTTCAAAAAGACTGCCTTATCAAGTGAAATAAATTATAAATATTCCCTAAACTATTAGAATTTATTTGGAATGATATCTCCACTCTTGCATTTGGCATACAGTCCACTTGCTCCTTCCATCTCCAAACAACAATGTTAGTTAGAATTAATAAGTACTGGTTATGATCCAGCCTATTAACGTAGCAAGACCGATCCATGGAGTGTTTTATAGCTTGTTAAAATTTTATTAGCTAACGCAGATCATCAGTAAAAACTGTTTAATTGGCTAATTGCTACAGCTGTTTCTGTCAGTGATGCTTGTGATTCTTTCCATGTATACAATAATGTCTACTGAAAAGCCTGACATTCATCTTTACAGGAGACTCTTACTGCAGTTTGACATTATGTGAAAACACAGATGTTTCTCCTCTCTTAACACCTCTTATGAAAAACACCAGATCAGGTTAAAGCTTCACACAGAACAGTCTTTTTCTAAAAACTTAGAAAATTAAAAAAATTCAGAGTCTTTCACTGTCTTGATTTGATATGCAGTGACCTTGGTTTGATAAGCAGCACTTTGCTGGGCTAAGTAGGGATTACTACGGCGTCTCATAGTCTTTGTTCAAGTTGTATAGCAGCTGCTTCACAATCTCAACCCAGCTAAGCAAGTATTTGCACTGGAAAACATTTAGCAAGCAGCATTTGGCCAGCTGGAGTTAGAAGAATGATGATATTTCACAATTATTATTAGCAGCACGTAGTTTTATTTGAATTCTATTTCAAGAGATAAAATTAGGTTTAATGTGAGGAAAGTTTTCATTTTCTCCATAAACAACTTGCTCTATCTGCTTGTAACATGAAGACTGTGTTTAAAAACATCAAGACTACATTTTTGCTCACTGAGTAGCTCATAACTGCTATATAGGAACAGTAGAATTCCATGCTGTACTGCAGATATCTATGTAAGGTCTATAAATTATTCTTATAAAATTTCTTTTATACTATTCTAACAGATTATCTAGGGTAAATTTTAAAACAATTTACCACTTAATTAATAGGCACTCCTGACACTGAAAATCTAAAACCCATCCTGTATATGAAATATTACTTTTTACTTTGCCTCCTAGTACTTGATAAAATGCACAAATACTCAGCTCTGAAATCCAGCAAAACTTTCTTTGCTTGTTGAACAACAACAGCAGTAGTTATGCAACAGAGAGCATCACCCCAGCAGATTGTTAAATCTGCTTGCTAATTATACCTTAAGTGTTGATCAATGCTGGAACTGAATTAATGCATTACAAATACATGGCATGTGTCTTAAGCTACAAATAAGTGTACCGTCTTCTGAATAATGAAGTGAAAATTAGATTTAACCACAGTTGAACTGGGTAATTATATATTAAAATAATAGCTTATGCTACTAAAGCCTGAGTGCGTGTAAAGCTTGTATGAGCTTATCAAGTCATAAAAAAATAGAGTAACTGCAATTTACATTACTCTTTTAGAATCTTGCACGTACTATTGTAGCTCAACTCTCCTAATGTGTAAGTATCTGATTTTTAACTGTGATCCAATATTCCCTACCCTTGAAAAGGTCATCTTTAAGTGTATTCATATAGCAGGCCAAGAAAACAGAAGAAAAAAAATGTAAGAATTTGTATTGCAATTAGCATTACAAATATAATTCATAGATTAAAAAAAAGTACGAAAATACTCCAGACCCACTTCTACCCTCACTTGTTTTCAGGTTGTTCCCCTGCATTATGAAGATCCTTTCAAATACTAATTATTCATAAGGTATTGTACTGGGAAGAGAATACTGTCTACATTCTGACTTCGTAAGATTTCGAGAGAATCCACATTTCTGAATCTCTGCTTGAGATAAACAGAAACTCTCGAGGTTCCTATGAACTGTGATGGTGGCTGGATCTAATTCATACCATGCATGGTATCAATGGCACATAGTACTCTGACAGCTTTTGGGATAACCTGGCCAATCAACCTCATCTGTTCTTTTCAAGCAAAATAACTCAGGAAAGTTATTGCATGAGACAATTTAAACCAGTAATCAAATATTAAGACAAAATATACCCTGATACGCGTAATTAAAAAAAAGACAACTTACAAACTTATACCATAGGTCTTTTTTCTGAGACAGAAGCAAGAGGATGTGAATGTTATGCACCACACTATGGATAATCTCAGAGCAAAGGCATGCAGCCACTGACAGCATTGGTTATATTGCAGTCTATCACCTGCCCTTTTTGGGGCAAAAACCCTGAATGCTTTGCTATTTCCAACATCTCCTACCGGGGAATGGAAACTAAAAACAAGGACCCTAACAGATGGCATCTGGAGACAGAACAGCCAGCCTTATGGTATGTGTCAGAATCATGATTTTTATCAAGCTTTGACTTTTAAGATAAAATTCTTAAGAGCAGAGAAAATTTTCTTCTTAAGTAGTAGTCAACAAGTTTCAGGAAAGAGCATACTGAAGCTTTTCTAATACCATCTGTTAATACCAGATGAACATGCAAGTACTGTGTTTATGCTGGCAATCATTAGTATGTTTCTTCAGTTGTATCTTGATAAACACCACAAATTGGTTAGCAGACAGAAAATCTGCAGAGTAAGGAAGGAGTTGGTCTAGCTAGGCTGATTAAGAAAACCCATATTAGAGGCAACTTTTTGTACCATTGCCTTTTTTTCACTGTTTAAGGCAAAGAAATAGAAGACCAAACATGATTGGAAACTGGAGAAAAAAATCCCAAGCCAGGGTGTAGAAAAAATGCAACAAAACACATCAACATCTTCTTGTGATTCACTGGAAGACATGTCTCCTCTAAAACAACATGCAACTGTTTCATATCAAAAACAGTTGCTTATTTGATCTTTCACCAAGAATTATATCAGTTATAAGGTAACATAGAGCATCCCCTCCTGATGACCAACTGGAACTTGTAACAGCATCTGTCTCAAATTTAATGAATGCAACACACTTGGCTAGTACAAAAAACTAACACTTCAGCGCAGTTCAATATGGGCTAATAGCAGAGAAAGAATCCATGCTTTTTGGAATAACTTTGTAGCTATTAAATCTCGATATAAGGAAGTCACATTCATTATTTTTGTTAGATAAGGTTAGCGTAAATGGCTTTAAAGTTTATTACTACTATGGCTTGCATTGCAAACACTCAGTCCTTAACAGCTCCAGCTACCTCCATTTGTGAAAAATTAGGTATGATATTTGGGTGCCAAGTATTAACTAATTATAAAAGATTGTAGTGTGAGAAAAATCACTGTCATCCCTAGCCATCAATATAAAATGGCTAATTTCACCATGCTATGTACCTCCAAATTACCCAGAATTTTATTACATGTCCTCAGGATAGAACGAACGCAATTCATTTAATCATCCTGATTTAAAGGAAAGATGAACTTTCATGATCTGATTATAAAACCAACAGACCTCATGAGAATCAACAAGTTTGACTCAGTATTTTCAATCTGTGGCACTGCAACATTTCATTAGAATGCAAAAGCACATGCTTGCATCCTTTCACTTAGCCAAAAGGAAACAGTCAAGCTGGCATTTTTCAGTTCATCATTCCAAGATGCTTAGTACAGCGGGTAAGAAATGAAATTACATTATACCAGTCATTATCCATACCCAAAATGTTTTTATTTGTCATATCCCAGCATTACTGAAATCCCTTTCAGCCTTAGAAAGCCTTGATCTCCTACACAGTTCTCTTAAGTACCATCACCATTAGATGATCACAGTGCAACTGTCCTGCCATCAGCTTTGCAATGTAAATGTGTGCACTGGAACATCACAGTCTTCACATCTAAATAAACATTGAAGAGATTGGAGTTTTTTGTTGCCTTTTTGAACCAAGGGAGGGATGGGGAACCCAACAACCTAACTTCATGCTCAGATGTCAAGTTCTTAGCTGGTACATGAATTCCACAAATTAAAGGAATTTGGGTTGGTTACAATTCCCTGTGCAAGCATATAATTAATAAAATGGGAATAAACCTTGCTATACAATTTGTGCCAGCACTTGCTCTAATTTCCCAGACAACCACAGCCTCATTACCTCCAGATTTGTGCATCTCATTATGATGCTGACACTCACACTTGTGTGATTAGCACTGAAATTACAGATTCATCCTGATCTAGTGTGGCCTTCATTGCTGTTAATTAGGCAGCGAAATGTGGAAACTGTTACGGCATTTTAATTACCTGAATGATGCAATGAGATTTGTATGCTTAAAAAAAAGTAATAAATCTTTTCCTAGAAACAG